TTGCATGCGCACAGGTGATTGCCATTTGTTGCTGTTGTGTGCAAGACTGATCGTTTATAATTTAGTTTTTTGTATATATAAGAAAAAAAGACTGATCGTCTACTTGTGGTTATGTCCAGGGTTTCCGCTACGTTGCTGCTGGTCCTTTGGTACGGTCGTCGTACAAAGCTGGGGAATTCTACATCAAGGCTATGATCGAGAAGGACAGGATGTTGAAGAATGCAGCTGCCTCTGTGCATGCCCAACCCTAGTCAGGATTCCGTTTTTATTTCCGCCTTTGGCTCATTAAATGCTTCGCTCCACTCTTGTGACATGTTTCGCCAAGTTCGGCAACGGCATAGCTTCGAAAAAGACTTGCTTCAGAGTTTGTTGCAAGAAGGTGTCTCCGTCGGTCCGCCCTTTTTTTTGTTGTCACCAGTGTTCTCCAGTGGTCTTACCTGTATAACCACCCATATGGTCATCAACTTGTATCGGAGAAGGAGGACAGAGTGCAGGGGTTGCTGTATCGATGATGGTCATCGGATATATAATATGTATCCTTGATAACCGCCATATGGTAATGGATGGGAGGATGAACTGCGCCAGGTGTAGACCCTCTGCTAGCTGTGAATTTCTCTATCTTGCAAGCAGAGGCTGGTATATTAAGAACAATTATTTTTGAAGAATCATGATTGGTCTCAGACATCATGATTGGTCTCAGACAAAAAGTGGAAAAAAAAAACAGAACGATGATTGGTTGTGGTTACGAGGCCTTGTGCACATGGTGTGTGTACATGTCGACATGGTATTCACAAGGCATGCAGAGGCAGCTAAGAAATGAAGTCAGTCCAAGGAATGAACATGTGGTTCATTGCTTGTATTAAAAAGGTTGGACTAGTCCATAAGCAGTCGTGGAGTCTCACCGGAAAAAAACTCCCTCCTCTTATCCTCAGCCGTGCCTCCCTCCCTCTTTCTCTTCACCTCTTTGTAAAAAGAGGGTAGAGGAACTACTACCTAAAGAGGTGTCCTGGAAAAAGTGGAACGGTGAAAGAGAGTGGAAGGGAGAGAGGGGTGGGCTGGGGTTCTGTGCAAAAGGGGCCAATCTGGTGAAGGAGAAGACTCCGATAGTTTTGTACAACTTTTGTGATAAATTGTGACTGTTGTATTTGGATATGTTCTGCTTGGATATGTTCTGCTTAGCTGGGCAGTGAGAGATTTGAAAAGAAGGGCATGGTCGACTCAGCGCTGTGCCGGAAGGGTGGGGAAGGGTGGGGTATTTGCCACAAAGACGAAGAGGGTTGAGGAGTGCATCCGTTGTGACCAACATTCAGAAGGAAGGAAATACAGAATGATTATCATGGAGCTATTGGGAGTAATGCTTGCTGCCCAAAGAGGGTTAGGAAGAATGATTACATTAGGCATGCCCGCCTTCGACTGTGTGACAGGTTTTCTGACTGGAAACTTGTCAGGAAAGATGATTATATGTCCTTTGGGACGTCTGTCAAAATTTTGGAACGAGATTACCATGCCCCCCCGCGCAAGGCTGCGAAAAAAAAAAAGGAAAAGAAAAGAAAAGAAGAGCTGATTATTGTCCTTCGGGCCGTCCGTTAAAATTGGAACGATACAGAGAGAGAAGATTAGCATGGCCCCTGCGCTTTCAAGGATGACACGCATAAATCGAGAAATGGTCCCCCCCCCAAAAAAAAAAGAAGCTGATTATGAAAGTTATTGTCTACATATGGTTGTCTCTGTGGGTTTGAGAGAATTTCGCCATTATGACCTGTCTCTTATATGACCCATCGTTTTCTTCATTCTTGGCAGGCGCACATTCTCACCAAAATTGCAACCATGTCCTCCAGCAGCGCTATGGCTGGCTGGCATCGCGGTATTCAGTTTTCAGTTCATCTGCTGAAGGGGAAACTTTCATTCTTTCTTTTTTCTGTAGAGGACTTGTTTTGCAGCGGACCAAGACTGTTTTCTGTAGTCAGAGGGAGGAGGGAGAAGCGCCACGTCAGAGGAGGGAGGAGGGAGGCGAAGAAGAAGAAGAAGAAGAAACGCAGAAAAGGAAAAGAAAAAAGCCTCAAGGATTTCTCCGTAAACTTTTCATTTTGACACACATTTTCTGAAGGTTTCTGAGTTTTCTTTTTTCAATTGTTCCCAGCCGAGGCCGGGTAATGGCCCCGGTAGCTCCTTTTTGTATTCTGATAAGGGACGCTGGGCCCGGTTCCCAGCCGGGTTGCTCCCCACGAATAGATTGGAGCATTGTCTCA